CCTTTCAATAAAAAAAGAAAAAAAGGGTATAAATGTCTTCTAGTGTGTATACAGCTATGGTATCTTATTGCATCAAACTGACAAAGCCATTCTTAGAAAACACTGATGTTGATCTGAACACTTGATCTAAAACGCTGAATTAAGGTGGCTTTAAGACCTGTGTTGCATGTTTCAAGTTCTTAACTATTAAATCTTGTTAAATAAGGAAAAGGAGTCCCAGGTGTTTTACTTCTAAATGGAATTAGTCAATTTTAAAGGATCACTCTGTTCAGTGGAGGAGGTATTGCTCATTATTTGGGTTTTTTTTCTATCAAAACGTTTAATTTGTTTTTCTTACTTTTTTTTTTTTAACTTAATGAAAAAGAAGTGGAGAGCCAAAGCACCTTGTTTTATATTAAGTTCCTCAAAAAATTTGGACTCACTTGGAAGAGATGTTGAGCAAGTTCATGATGATCTGATATGATCTAAGGCTCTGAAGCAAGTGTGATCTAAGGAAGTGTGTATTTACAGGGATTCCATTCCCATAGGTTGGCTCAGTTCATTGAGGGACATGGGAAGAAAACAGGCTGTGGTTTATTTCAACCACAACCAGTTCTCCTTGCAGACCACCAGGGATTGAAGGGAAGGAGACGGGAAGCAGAACAGACAGATAACTGACAAGATTTGAGTATAAAAAGATAGTTTGCAATATATCAGTTTATGATCATTGTCCTTGAAGTCCCAATGACACACAAAGTAAAATAATTTAAAGTGAAGGAGATGATAAAAAAGGCTTTCATGTTATCAAAGTTTTAGGGTTTTATCCTAATTCAGGTGTTGTACTCCTGAAGGAGAAAGTAATTAATAATTGATTTTCTTCAAGTTTGTGTCTGTCTGATAGAAAATGAACTGCTCTGTGCTAGACAGTAAAGTTATCATCAGAAAATAGTTTCAGTAGGGTTAAGGTTACATCAGGCTTGCTCTGGTAATTTGAAATTTTGGGCTCATGAAAAGACGTGAAACAACCTCTTTAACATTTCAGTCCACGTTTTCTGGCTTGTATGTACTCACTAACTTCCTCAGTAATGTAACACTTGGATTTCCATCTGCTCAAGAGAGCAAAATCCATCATGCATCCCAGCTTCAGATTAAGTTCATACATTTTGGATTTTGGCATACATTGTAGGTGGAATTCTGAGTGTTCCAGGTGTTGGAGTGTGCTGCTGCCAACCCTGATAAACTATCAGTGAAGGAATCATCTGTCCTTACTGCTTGCTTGCATGTTTTAAGGCTCCTCATATTTGAGCTGGTCTGCAAGCTGACTGCAGAGAAGGATTTTGCAAGCTTGGGTTATGTCTGTTAAAGGTAGCATAGAGAGAAATCAAATAGAAAGCACATAACATGATTACAGTTTGTATGACTTAGAAAACGAAGTCTTATACAACTTAATTCAGTTACTCTTAAGAAATAAGCAGTCTTATCTATCCCTAACAGCTTTGATGATCTGTGTCTGAGGTTACAGTTGTTCCTTCCCCAGTCTGTGTCACCTCTGTACTTTAGACCTGTAAAATTCGAGCTGCAGGGTTGGCAAAATGAGCTTTAGAAATTGTCATTTAGCAAGAATGTGATACTCATTTCCCCATCTGCAGGCACAACTGTTGAACAGCTCCTCATATCAGCTGAGAGATAAATTGTTGTGGTTCCTTTCCGCACTGGATGGTTTCAGTGCTGAGACTCAGCATGACCTGCAAGACTTTTGCTACTCAGCTTCTAAATAAGGCTTCAAGCTCTTGTGCTGGGAAACACAGATTTTTGTTTTCTGACTCAGGTTATACAGCATCACTGTGAGCTGTTTTAACTTAATTTGTAAACTTGCTGTGTGCCATTGCAGCTGGAGAGGACTAACTGCAACCGTGATTTATTTAAAAGTTCCTTTGTGTTACTTGGCACGTGGAAGTGATGATGTCTGCTTAATTGATCAGGGCATGTCTCGTGAATGATTTAAAATTTCCTACAGTTGGACTAGTCAAGCTTTTGTTATGATGCTATTGTCATGGGATGCATTCATCTGATATAGTGTCTTAACACTATTTTGAGGCTGTGTGTAGCTTGGGTATCAGAGAGAGTGTTTTGAAAAAGTTGGAAGTCTGAAGTTTGTGAATAGCTGAGTCTTTCTTCAGATTGTGTTTAAAAGTATTTTTATTTCTGTGTGAAATTGCTGTATTGTTTCAATAGAATGAGTTAATTGTGGGTGTCACTGAATTCACAGAATAATAAAATGGATTGGTTTGGAAGGGATTTCAAAGATCATTTAGTTCCAACCCCAATTCTTGTATTCTGTGCTGTACAGCACATTTCTTTTACTTAAGAGTCTTTGGCATTCCTCAATCCAAGTAGAAAAGTCTCTGTCATAATCATAGTGAAGTTTCAATATGGCCATAAATTCTGAAACTGTAGGGGTGTCTCTGTACCTTTTCTGTTACAGAACTGAATACGGTGCTCTAAATTTTTTGTCCCAGATTTAATATGCAGGAAGGAAATTACTCAAGTCAGGATTTTAAAATGTTAATGGAAGGAGAAATCAGGGCATGGCTGTACAAGATAAAGGTGGGTTACACACAGATCTGATCGTCTCAGAGCTGCAGTTTGTAGGCTGCTTTTTGTTTTATGATTCCTCCGACTCTCTTTGTCTGTTCAAAGCACATACACACACTGTGGTGGCTGGGCAAGCTCTCCTGCCCAGGCTTGGCAAAACCAGATCTAAAAGTAGCTCAGCCAACATTGAGAAATATTAATTTCTCAATGTTAATCATTGAGTTTGGATGAATTAACAGAATTTGGGGATCTGCCTGCAAGTAGAAATATGGTCTTGTGAGGTATCTCTGCACTCAGGTGATCTGCTCTTCCATATCAGAATATGTTAAGAGCATTATTTAATGTCTCCAGAAATGCTTGGGGGGGGGGGGGGGGGTGTGGAACAATGACAGTGGAAAGAAAAAGGATTATTTGAATGAAATACATTCGATTTCTAGTAATTTATGACCAATTAGGAATGAAAGGAGGTGTTGCCAACATTATTCCAAAGCTGCGGTTTAGGTTTTGAAATGTTTTTAGATTAGCATAATCTAAATGTATTTATACTATGGTAAAGGAATTTTACTTTGAATGCTAAAAGAGGAAGCAGGAACTTGGAATAAGAAGGTGACACTGATCAATATAAAGTGGAACATTTTCATAGAAGATCGCTTTTGAAAGTGGAGAAGGGATTCTGAGTCAATAGCTGTATCCTTCCAATGCCAAATGAAGTCAGTTGAACCTTTTTCATTTAATGATGAAGGTGGATTTTTATGTTTTAGAGTCTTAATTGAACATCTGTTTAAAAATATCTGGGGTAGTTTTTGGTAAAAGACCAAACACCAGATAATAGTGGGGTGTGGATTCAGAAGAGAAAATTGCCATCAGTATGGGGGATTTCATTGTGTGTTTGGAGCAAGGGAAGAAGAAAACAAACATGCATTTTCTTGACTAGTTTCTTCTGAGTACATCACGTGTCCATCATTGTACTAACAAATACCTTCCTTACTTCTCAATATTTAGATTTGGATTCATTGACTACTTTTGGTATTCATGTTCTTTGTCAGATATAATCCTATTTCAAGAAATCTTTGCAAGTATGTTGAAAGAATACAAAACCTGGATTTTAGCTATGTGAGTACAGGTCTAGTAGTGTGATGAATTACACACTTCATATCATCTGGTGTGTAAAGGAATACCAAAAGTCAGTTATTAAGGTTTGTAAGTGCCCTCAGAGGGACATTTCTGCTTCCTCGGGGTACCTTTTATTTTGAGAATGGTGTTCCTTTGAAGTCTCATTGCTCAGAAACCTGTCAGCTAACTTCCAGTTCATTGTTTGAATGGAAGAATTTGTCTTTCAAGCTATATTAAAGCATTTATTTCACTCAGCAGGTGAATGCTCACTCAGTAGACAAACTTGTGAACAAAGGCTCTTTCCATCCTCAAATTTTCCCTCACATCTCTTTGAGAAGTCTTCAGCTGGGATTTCTTTAGAACTCACATGTCTGTCATTAAATAAGTAGCAGTAGAAAAGGATTGATTTGCCACAGTTAGTGCACTCTTGAAACAATCTTATTCTATTTTCATAACTTACTAATATTTCATGTTTGAAAGCTTGACCTACCATGTTTAGCTGATGGTACTGGTTGTTATTAACATTGAACAGAAGTTTCATACTGTAAGTTAAGGCACCAAGGACTGAAATTGTCTACTGAAAGGTGCTTCCAAAAATACATATTTGTGCTGGTGGTTTTCAAAAGGTTGCCATTGCTCTAACTGATGTTTTGGCAAATACAACTTCAGTTTCAAAAAACAACTACTCTTTTTTATTTGAGTGCAATAGTAACATTTGTCTGAACTAATTCTAATATTTTCATCTGTAACTTCTGGGATTCTCTAAGTGCTGTAGGTGAAAAAATATTATGAGCTTTTGTGGAATTTCAAAGTATTGTAATGGAGGTTGGTTATATCTACTGATACCAAACTTGAAATAAACCAAGTTTATGTAAAACAGACAGACTGAAACAGCTCAGAATTCTGTTACTCTTGTCATTGTCCATTATCCTTTCTGATTAGGACTGAAAGAAGGAATGGGTTTCTCACCTCTATTTTTCCCCCATTTGGATTTTGCATCTAAATAAGGCCCATTTAAAATTTAATAATATGATAAGTTACATATTACATAAGGTGTCTAAGAGTAGTTCTAAAGGGGCAGGGTAAGAGAAAATGTCATTAATACAGGAAAATGCAGAACTCATGCAATGTTCTTTACACCAGTCTGTAGTCAGAGCTATTAATTTTACATTCAATGGGCAGCAAGGACGAGAGGTATATTCTGTGTAAATACTGCACTTAAATGCACAAATCAAAACCTTGTTGAGAAGTAATGGAATGTAGCACAGTGAAGAGGAGAATGGTAATTCATTGCTGGTTTCTCTGCGTTGCAGGGGTCCCTTCAGCGTCGTGCGGCGATGCATCAACAGGGAGACGGGGCAGCAGTTCGCTGTGAAGATCGTCGATGTAGCAAAATTCACTTCAAGTCCTGGATTAAGCACAGAAGGTAAGAATTAATAATTAAGCAAACTCCCAGCAGACAGGTTTTATTGATTTGTCAGCCTTTCCTATGTTTGTTCTCTCCATGATACTTTCTGTTTTATATTTTCTTTTCTAGTAGTTTTAAAGCAAGGTTGCATATCTCAAAATTAGCTTAGTGCTTGAATCTCTAATCTTTAGTAGTTTCTACAGATCTATACAGTGGTAATCATAAATATTAGAAAGATAGTTAGGTCTAAGCTATTTCTATTTCTGTTTGGATTTTTTTCTTAAGAGTGTGAATTTTGTAAAGAAAAAAATAGTTCTGAGTCAAAAAAGCATGCACAGGAAGTAAACCAAGAGCACATGAGTTGTGTTTTTACTAGTCTAGATTTAGCAAGTAATTTTCTATAAATAGATGAAGGCTTGCTATTAAAGTGCAAAATTATATAAAAATATATTTTTCATACAGTCAAGATTACAGGCAATGCTGCAGAACTGCTACAAGTGTAAACACAAGGCTGTAACTCTCTAACATATCCTATTTTAGAGTGAAACAATCTATTTTTTACAAGTTGAATACACAACTTGTGTGTGCATAAAGTTCTTTTACCCTATATCGAGAAGAGTGTTGCCAGCTGAGTGATATTTGCTGTATTCTCAGTGTCCTGTATTTATTTTCTGAAGATCATATTCTTTTGTACAGTAATGTTTTTGGGCGATCCACTGATGATATCGAAGTCCTCATGAACCCAACTTCAGCAAAAAAGGCTCAATGACTTTTGTTGGTTTTTATAACAAATGGTACCTTGAACCTTAATGACTAGCTTGATTTGCAGGGTAAATCATAGCTCTTGCTTCAAATTTTACTAGATATTTTCATTTAATAATGCCTTTTTTCTAGCCCTCTAACAAATTATAAGCCACATTTTCTACAATATTCGTCTTCTGATTAGCTCCATCATGGTTTTGGCATGTTATACCAAAACCATTGCATTCTGAGCTAGCTCATTAAAATGCTTTGATATCTTTTAAATCAGTTGTGTCCATATTCTTTTTTTTTATTCTAAATCTCATTCAAACTGCTGATGATAAGACACATTTCTGCCTTTGGTGGAATATTGCCTTCCTGTCTCCATGACAGTAAAATTCAACCTTTTGGAGCCATGAAGAATTTCTGAAAGGGAAAAGTTACAGGCAAAAGAGAAGGGACTCATCAGAAGGAGAAGAAAAGCCAACAGTAATAGTAGATTCACTGAAAAAAAGGGTAAATGTGGGTGGTTTGAGATTTCTGTCTGAGTCAAAAGAATAAGCATGGGAGTGTATTAAGAAATCTTGGGGTTTTCCAATTCTGCTTTTGTTGTATCATTGTAATTTTAATTCAAGGTAGCAGGTCATTGAGGTACAATCATAAACATTTTCTGGGTTTAGTGGTGCTTTGTTTTGTTTTGTGGTTTTGGATTGTTGTTTGGATTTTTTTGTACTTGTTTTAGGGTTGGTTTTTTTAAAGGTTTTGAATTGTTATGCCTTAGATTTGTAATATTAAGACACAAAGACACATAAGTATGTAAGTGAGTGTGGAGTGAGTTCTCACCTCTACATAAAAATGTGAATTTTTCATTGATTCTTTCCATCTTCTGCGCTCTTTGTTATTCCTGTTTTTTATTTGGCTTGTTTTGTAGTTGGGTTTTTTATTTGGTTGGGTTTTTTTTGCATATCTACTCTATTCAGGTTCTAGGGGGTGTTTAAAGATTTTTTTTTTCCAGTTTGTTCATTTCTGAAGTGGCATTCCTTAAGAACATTGGTGGGCAGCCATGATGGTGGTATTGGTATAAAGTAAATATACCTGTGAAGAAGCTGTGTTTGTAAACTGTGTTAAAGTGTGAGCTGTAATGAATTGATAAGGTTAACCCTTGGAGGTATTCTTTACCTTGAAATTTTGACCTCTGCAAGTTCAGTTTGCTCTTAAAGGTTATTTTTGCACAACTCTCCACCTCCAGGCTTTCTTTGAGACACAGGAGTGGGAGAACAGTGCATTCTGCATGTAAGGGAGCTGATGACAATTCCTTCCATTAATTCATATATATCTAGAGTGCTCAGAGTAAAGATCCCACTATGCCTTCACACTTCCAGATTAAATCTAAAAGGTCTTTGTTCTTGAGTGCTTTTACATAAATACCCCTGTAGGATGATGTGTTTATGGGTAAGAAATTCATTTTTGTTTGTCAGCAGTGTACTCTTGTGGCAAAGGCAGCCAACTGCAGAGCACTGCAGAGGGGTAGCCGGCAAGGCAAAGCAAGTGATTGTTCCCCCTGTTCATCCCTTGTGAGGCCACACCTGGAACGCTGTGTAGTGCATAGCAGAGCTGGCCTCAGTTGGTCAAGCCTTAATAAGAGAAGCTGAGATGAGATCTGGTGCTGTCTTCAATTAGTTCATAAAAGGATGTAGAACAGATGGAGCCGAGCTCTTGATTTGGGCACATAATGAAAAGACAAAAAGCCATGTGGACAAATTGCAACATGAAAAAAATGCTAATAAGAGACAAAGAGAAGAAAAATCTGTCCCTGATTGCATGGAGAGTTCGTGGAGAACATCCTCAGAGATGCTCAGAAGTGAATTGCACAAGGCCCCAAGCTGCCAGGTCTGTTTTGACCTGCTTGGAGCAAGAAGTTGGACTAGGTCACCTCCAGAGGGTATTTTCAACCTAGCTGATTCTGTGGTGTTTGTAACAACAGTCTGTGTGTAATCTGTGGGCCAATATAGTTGCAATATTATATAGGGAGAAAATCTAAATTTTTCATTTTTTAGCATAGCAGTACTGTGCTAAAAAAGAGATAATTTAAAATTAGTTTGGATTGAGTTTTTAAAACCAGTCTTGGTTTCTTTAACCTGTGAGGCAGCTGGGTACCAAATATGTTTTTTCAAGGGACTATTTTCTAAACAATTCATTTAGAAAAATGCATACTGGTGTCTTACAATAATGGTATCTCCTTACCCCAGAGTAAGATAAACTCAAAAGCTTCTCTAGGCTGATGTGTTACCAGCTGGTGTTATTGTGGGCATTTGTGGCATATGATGGAGAAGCCACTAGCTCAGAAGACAAACTTCAATCAGGTATGGTGTTCTTTCCTTAAAGCTGCTCAGTACTCATAGCATGTATAGACACAGACATCTCAAGTGATTTTTGTGTCTCGCTGCATCTCTGCAGTGGTTTGATAATAGCAGGGAAAATTAATGCTATGTAATGATGCCTGACAGCTAGCAAATCTAATCTAGGCTAAATTCTATTGGATTTATGTATTAGTATTCATGGTCTTGCGTATTGTGTATCATCAATCCCTGTAGTGTTGTAATTCAACCATATTAATGAAGTATATTGACACCTTGTCACTATTCAAGTGGCCACGTGATTTTGTGTATGAATGTTGGATATTATATATGTTGACAGATTCTACTACAGTTCACTCATATCACAGAGAAACAAAAAAATCAAAAATAAGAAAATGTGAAGGTTGAGTATTTTTAGCCATAAGAGTCTCTTTTGTACGGTGCAGCTGAGAGAATCCATGTGGAAGAGTATTTGATGCTCTCAGAAGCCAGTAGTAGTAGACTCATTGACTATAAAAAATATCAGTGTAAATAAACTTATTTTCAAGTGCAGCTTTTAGTTGCTATACTCAGAACATTTGGTATAGAAAACTGTGAGAAGCACGTTCCTTTATACTGAATTTGTTGCAGCTCACATCTTAGTTTGACTGTCCATTTCCTCTGCTGCTCTCTTTACATCCCATGCATTTGCTCTTGTCTTTTGTTTTTCTCTGCACAGCTTGCTTGTCTGATGTTTAGTTACCTGCTTTAACACAAAATATCTCTTAAACGCAGGCACCATTTCTCAGGAAGAGAATGGTGATCAGTCCTTACTACTTAGTAAAAGCCAACACACATTACTTATCTGCCTTTTTTTAAATCCAGATTGCTTTCTTCTAACTTGCTGAGTGTTTTTTGCAGCAGTTTAAAGGGCAGTGTTTTGTGCTTACAGTGCATTGAAGTTGTTTTTTCAGGATTTAATTCAACATATATTGGATTCTCTTGCCTGTAGTTTGTTTCTATAGAAATGTCCTTACGAAGAAATTGATTCTAAAGTGATCCAGCCTTCTAAAAGTCTACACCTTATTTATTAGATTGATGTGTGTGGTTGACATACAGGTTTGTATGCATTCAGGCCACTGTGAGACTGAATAAATAAGCTGATAGGGAAAGACTGAGGTTTCCTTCAGAAGCCAAACTGGTTCTTCTGGAAGCAGGCTATGAAGACAGTCTGCAAAATGCTTTTGTCTATGACAAAGAGCAAAACTGTAGCCAAGAAAGCAGTGTTTTAAATACAGTTCTTGAACTACTTCTAGCACAGAGGGGCAGGATTATTGAATCAAAACTGGCCTTGCTATGGATCATCCACTTTAGGAGAAGAATTCCCAAATTATTTAATGGGGAATTGCAATAAAAACTGGGAAGGTTTTGTTGTGTTTTAGTTAGTCTTGTGGGTTGGTTTTTTTTTTTTCCCACAGAGGGGCCCCCAGATCTTATCCCTGATTAGCTTTCAGATTGTGAGTGATTTTCTTAAAGTTGAGAGCTTAGTTTTGTTCTGCTTATTTCATTAAGCAACTTACCCTTGTTGGTTTTCTTATTTTTATTTACGTAATTTATTTAGACTTTAATTTTTTAGAATCATTTTGTCAGGGCAGTGTTTTCAAAAGGCTTTATTGAGTTCATTGTGAAGTTGCATGACAGTATGTTTAAATTTTGGTACTGGAAGGCTGTAGTGAATCATAAATTATTTTTCACAAAAGTATCTGTAAGATTCTGCACTTCCTTCTCTGTGTGTTTTCAAGAGTTCCAGAAAAAAATGTGCTGTCAGCTTTAAGCTCATCTCTTTTGAGTACAAAATACTACAAATCTGTATGTCATCATATTTCATGGTACTGTACCATATATAGACTGGATTCAAAGGAAGAACGAGTGACTCATTGC